GAGCAGTCTCTAGAAGTTCTGCTTTCGTGAAGTAGCGGTCGTCTTCCGGTTCGTGATAGGCAAACCGGACTTTATACTGTTTTTGGGGATGACCTCTTCCTCCTGTCCTAAACACATCCTCTTCTACAATGCCCTCTATGTCATAGCTCCCATCCACATCCGGTGGGATCATGGATCTCCTGGAAGGGAACTGTTGACCTGTGACACACGGCAACAGCTTTGAAGCATGGAACACAGGTAAGGGAACTGTTGACTAGTGACACACGGCAGCAGCTTTGAAGCATGGAACACAGGGTATGTGTGGAGGTGTGCTGGAATCTCAATGCTGTAGGACGGTCCATCCTCTCCGCCGTTGACTTTTAGAACCGGCCACGGTCCTCTATATGCAGGCAGTAGCTTCTGCGAGATGTTTTCTTCCGGTGCAAACTCTTTTGCTTTGACCCAGACTAAGTCGCCTAATTGAAACTGCGATGGGCTTCGGTGCTTGTTAGCCTGTTCTATCATTCTGTGTTGGGCCTTCCGAAGGTTCTCAACATCAGTGGCTAACTCCTTTTCGTGTTGTATCGTGAACTCCCTGGTACCGGGCGGTAATCTGTGAATCTGATCCCGGTTCAGTCCTTCGAACGGTCTGCGCGGTCTAAAGGACTTGTGCAACTCATTGGGAGTGCGGCAGGTGGATAGATGCACGCTGTTGTTGTACGCACTAGCGACCTTGGGCAACATCTCATCCCAATTGATCTGATCTGGTCTAATATACATGCGCAAAACTTGTTGTAGGATCTTGTTCATGTGTTCTGTCTGACCATTAGTCTCTGGGTTACGGTCGGACGACATTAACAACTTAGATCCGTAGGCTCTCATGAGTTCTTGCGAGTTCTGGCTGGTGAAACGACTATCTCTATCACTAACTATTGACAATGGGATTCCATTCTCACTAACCCAAAAGTCAAAGAACTTTTGTATTACTAAATCTGTACATACTTACTAAAACGGTCGACTATGACCATGACTTGGCTCTAACCATGTCTGCTCTTGACTTGCGTGCCCATGAAGTCTATGGACACTGAGTCTCCCGGCTGATCCCGAATAGGCAAGGGTCTGAGAAGACCTAGGGGCACGCGTGTAGTAGATTTGTTTCGCTGGCAAACTTTGCAACTGTGGACATACTCTATGTAGTCGTTTTTCATCCCTGGCCATGTGTACGCACGCATCAGATTGGCTAACGTCTTTTGCCAACCGAAGTGTCCCTCAGTATCGTGACATTCCCCTAGRATYAGACTACGAATCTCTTCGCTGTTGGGAACGCACAGGCGGTCAAACACATTAGTCTTCTCAAACAGCAACCCGCTGTAGTGCGGTAATCTGGTTCGGTCTCTGGGGCCTCTCTAACTCTCTTTAGGAGGTTGCTATAGATAGGGTCCTGCGTATACGCTTGTTTCACTTCTCCTGCAGATCTCTCCCTATATCCAGATAATGTACTACGGCTCCAAAGTAGTCTGATCTCCTACTCAGAGCATCCGCAACTACGTTGTATTTGCCCTTTACTGGCTTGAGCTCAAAGTCGAATTGGTCTATCTCTGCGGCCCACCCAGTCAACTTAGGTGTCATCTTGGCCTGTGTCTTTAGCCAACGAAGTGTCTCATGGTCAGAATACACTTTGAAGTGCCTCCCAAGCAGATAGTGCTTCCAATGATCTAAAGCCTGCATGAGAGCGTAGAGTTCTCTCTCGTACGTGGAGGCAGCAACCTTTTCACAGGGCATCCTCGCTGACATGAACTCTACGGGTCTATAGCCATTGCTGTCGTCTTGCTGCAATACGGCGCCTATCCCATACTGATTTGCGTCCGTGGTAACGACAAATGGCAAGGACGGATCTGCGACTTTGAGGATAGGATATTCTATTAACGTGCGCTTTAACTTCTTAAGCGCAGACGTACAGTCTTTGTCCCATTGCCAGATTGCCTCTTTCTTGAGCAACCTGCGCAAGGGAGCGGCGATAGTAGAGAAGTTCCTTACGAACTTCCTATAGTAGTTAGCTAAGCCTAGGAACGACCGCAACTCTGTCAATGTGCGGGGCGTCGGCCAATCTCYGATCGCCGCGATCTTGCTGTCCTCTGGCTTAATGCCATCTCCGTCCGACACGTGGCCCAAGTACAAAACTTGCGTCTTGGCCCACTCGCACTTCTTCGCGTTGATCTTGAAGTTAGCCTCTCTAAGCTTCTCCAAGACCTGCGTCAGATGACCCTGATGCTCCTGGACGGTCTTACTAAAAACTAGGATATCGTCTAGATAGATAGACTATTACAAATTTATCTAACCATGGTCTAAACAGGTCATTCATACAACGCTGAAAAGTGGCTGGCGCGTTGGTTAGTCCAAAGGGCATCACTATTAACTCACAGTGCCCATATCTAGTCCAGAATGCAGTCTTATACTGGTCATCAGGATGGACTTCTATCTGATGGTATGCGGACTTCAAGTCTATCTTGGAGAAGTATTTACAACCCTGCACCCGATCTAAAAGATCGTCTATCCTGGGCAGCGGCTCAACATTCTTCACGGTGATCGCATTCAAACCCCTCTCCTTCCTTTTTGGGGACAAACAAGATTGGTGCTCCAAAAGGAGACAAACTGGGCCTGATCCAACCCTTCGCAAGGAGTTCGTCTAACTGCTTGCGAAGCTCTTCTAACTCTCTAGGGGACATCCTGTAGACTGCACCCTTAGGAGTTCTACTGCCAGGCTCTATCTCTATCCTGTGCTGGATGGGTCGCGACACTACTCCTGTCGGCGACTGAGTCAAGTCTTTGAATTCTTCCAGCAGCTTGGCAATTGTTGGATCTGTGGAACTATCCTTTTCCTGGGCCTCAGTGACAGGTCTAACATAAAATACAAAGACCTGGTCTTCTAACTGCTCCTTCTTTACTAATCGCGCGAATGCGGGAGCACTGAGACAGCAATGTGCCAAGGTGTTATCTACACCAGACACATGGAACAATCGGGCAGTCTTAACCTCGCCTGACGGGCTAGGGAGCCTACACTCATGCTCTCTCAAATGACGTGTGGCCCCTGCTGCCTCCCCCCAATCCATTCCCAACAATATATCAAAAGGAAGATCATCTTGTATGAGGAGAGTCAGGGAATGGAAAATTGTCTCCACCTTCCTATCCTTCTCTAGGCGAAAGCACGCCTGGACTCCCTCTACGTAGTCCTCAACTCGCATGGTGCGGTTGTCTGCGAGGACACTGACTATGGGGTCTACTAACTTCTGGACTTTTAGTCCTAGCCTCAACTTCTTCAGCGCCCTACGGCTAATGCAACTACGGGTAACCACTGAGTCTATAAGGGCCCCTCCTCTACTTCTAAACACCTCTACATCTACCAAAATCAGTTGTCCCTTACTCTCCCTTTTCATTTTGGCCCAGGCTGGCATCCTCTCCTTTAACTCTTCTGCCACATCTGTGAGGGACGTGCCTAAAGAGACGCTGACACAAGCAGCCTCTGGACAACTATCTAGGCACGGACCTGCAACCTCTGCAATAGGCTCATGTGGGTTGGGCGTGCTCACTTCTCCACATGGCCTGGAAGTAGGGGCAGTTGCGACTCCTACTGGCGGCTGCCTTTTGACTGTTGGGCAGCCCAACGGGCCTGTCTATACTTTGGACAAAATTTAATTACGTGCGCTGGGTCACCACAGAATACGCACTGACCCAGGTTCACGCGTTCCTGCCATAAGCGCTGGTCCAAGCCCAAGTCTTCCCAGGGCCTGCCCTGCGACAAGCCTGGGTGCCATCCTCCTTGAGGTGCCCTTCCACCTCCTCGCTGTAGGGACCGGTTACCCTGGCGATTTAAAGGGGGACCTTGACCCCTACCTCCCGCTTGGCGGTTTCCATGTCCGCCAACCCCTTGTGCGCCCGGTCCTCGGCCTCCCATGGCCTGGCCCCTTTGGCCCTGGCCTCCTCCTCTACCTTGCGGCCTCCCTCCGGCTGCGACAGCAGCGTAAGACCTCCCCTGCCCTACACTACTGTACTCCTCCCCTAGGCCCCACTCAATTTGATCATATGGGACCTCTTCTGTACCACCCTCTTCTAATGTCAGGATCAAGTGATCCTTGGCCTTGACTTGGCCTGAGATGGTACGATCTTTCCACTTCTTCCCCTTCTCCAGGTCCTTATGCCAGAAAGTGGTAACTGGCATGACTTTGACTCATACAGGACGACTTATCTACTCAATGCATCGTAAGTCATGCCGGCCTGCTGAGATTTGTCAAAGAAATGCTCGCGTAGGGCCTCTGGAATGGCACGATAAAACAACTGGACCAGCTGGGGCTCAGTGACCCCGTGGTCCGGGACGGCTACCAAGTCGTCCATGGTACCCTTGAGTGCCTTGGCACTTCTCCACTGCCGGGAGTGGATTGTTTGGAGCTTATTAGAGGCTCTAATGCCTCGCGTTGGGTCAGTGAACCGCTCCTTGAGGAGGTTGAGGAATTGGGAAAGAGGAGTGACTTTGGAATATGCAACCAGGTTGTTTTCACAACTGGCTGTTCGCGCGAGAGACCTGCCGAAGCTATTGACACTGGCCTCCCAGTTTCGTCCTTCAGGGCCTGGAAGGCCACGAGGACTTGCTCCTCTAGCAGGATATGCTGTCAATAAATGTAACTATTGACACTGGCCTCCTAGTTGTCAAAGTTTTCGTCCTTCATTCCCCCGTACGCGTCTGGGAACTTAAGTTCCACTGGGTCCTTACGGGGTCTGGCCTCTTCTTCTACAGCGGCTGCAACTTTGGCACCCTGAATGGCGCCCTCACAAAACTTCCCTACATTGTCCCTCAACTGTTTGACTTCGCCCCCAATGTGGGTGACGATTTCGCGCACGAAATCCATGAAACCGGACCGCATGGCACTCAACTCGACGTCTTGGCTCCAGCTGGCCTGGCGCTCCTCCATCCAGGCCTTGCTCAACACCTCTAGGTAGCCCAATACTTTGTCCCACTTGGCCTTATCATCTGGCTGGGCCAGCACCTCTGCTCTACACTCCTGCACCTTTGCCACTGCTGCGGTCATCTTATTCACTTCCTCTGTCCTCCTCTTCTTCTCCCTCTTCATTCTCTGCTTCCATGCTAACTTTTGCTCGTCTTCCCTCTCTCTTATTTCCATCGGGTCTGTCATGGCTGCTAGCTCAGCGGCCAGCGCAGCCTTCTCATCCTTAGTTACATAGGACTCCGCCTCCTCGTCTTCCCCCAACGATAAATTAGCGACCCACTCGCTGATCTTCTTCTCCAGCTGCGTATCTGTCTCCCACTTCATTGTGTCACCACTACTCCCTTCTCCACTCTCAATTCTCATTCTCCCTTTCTCTTCTTCTGCTGTCGCTTCTTCTTCAGCAGCCTTCCTTCTTTCTTCCTCTTCCTGTTGTACCCTCTTCATCTCCTCCTCCAACCTCTTCATCTTCGTCGCCTGCTCATCTGCGATAGCCTTTAGCTTCGCTTGCTTCTCGCGCTCTTTTCTCTCCTTGTTCTCTTTCACTAAGGCGGCCATCTTTGTTTGCTGCTCAGGGGTGTAGGAATTAGTCTCCTTCCCAGTGCGGGTCTCAACCATGGTGATAGGTGTACAACCAGGTTAGAGGTTCCAAACCTCACCACGTAGACGCCAACCCCTGACTATTAGACCTACTGACTCAATCTAAGACTCACAGAATCCTGACAGGGATCCTGCCAACTATGGTCTCTAGCCTAGACCTATACTATGGCTGTCACTACTGAACCAGTGGCTGATCAGGAGGCATKTAAGGAGATCCCCCGTAACTCCTCAAGAATTCTTTAACGTCGCATACAGGACGACGTGATCAGCTTGGTTCTGCCTGTGCTTTCAGCCCACAACTCAGCCTTTCCAGCCTACTGTGCCACACCGAGCAG